AGGCATGAAAAAGATGTTCTTGAAAAATGAAGAGAATTTGTCACTGACAGTATGTGCTTTATAAATTATGACTAAAAGAAACTCCCACAACAGAAGGAAACAAGATGGCTTAGAGCTTCAAGAATGATAGAACAATAAAACGGGCAGAATTGGGGGTAAATATCAAGCAAAGCTGAAGGATAAATATATAGATCATCCTCTCTTCTGTTACTCTAAAATTTAACTATTGAAGCAACAATTATAACATCTCTTGTGTTCAATGTACCTAATGGGATACTTAAGTCAATTATATATATTTTTAAAGATTTTATTTATACACTCAGAACTGGGGTACAGGCCAGAGATGCGGAGGGTGAGAGGATTCACCAGACAGAATGGGGAGCAGAACAGGCAGATCGACGAAGTGCACTGCTGAGGGGAGCAGTGGGTGAGGTGGGAGAGGTCTGCTGCGCCATGTGGGTCGCCTCCCTGGCCTGGAATCCAACTGTCACTGAATTGGCTGCGGCTGGCTTCACACTGCTGCGCATTAACCGTGGCACTACCAGGGAATGTGACGCACTCTCTGCCAACAGAGAGACACCACGATATATCTTCTTTTGGACCCTTTATTCTTCTCCCTCGTGCCTGTGCCCTCTTCTCAATCTCTCAATCTCTCTCTCTCTCTCTCTCTCTCTCTCTCTCTCTAGCTTGCCTCCTCCCTGCTGCCCCCCCCAGCCCCCTGTGGCAGTTGCTTAAATAGCATTCATTGACCAATCAGAGCACTGCTCACGTGTACATTGGCCAATTAGAGCACTGCTCACGTGTACAACAACCATATTTGGGCAGGACACACAACGAGCATACATTGATCACGGCAGAAGCATATCCAATAAGATTTAACTTCCTTATACAGGCGGGTGTTGGCGTATTTTGTTTTTCACTGGCTAAAGGCCAGGCGCCATTTTGGCTGCTGAATCATGGGGCTGGGGTCCTGGGCACCCCGACAAGGGAGGGCCAAGACAATTACATTTTTAAAGTGGGGCAGTGAAGGGACCATAAATAGAAATAAAGGTTCAATACTTATCCAGCAAGTAAACATCAAAGCCAGCATCTGAAATAAGTTCCACACATAACATACAATGCCTGGAAAAACTAGAGAAAACATATACTTGGAAGCAAAATAATTTTAAAATACAGAATCCTAAAAACTGTTCAAGGGACTCACAGAAAGTCAAGGACAAAGAAAGAGAAGACACTAAAAATGAAAAATAGTAAACTGAATCCCCCAAATAAAATCAATAACAGCATTAAATGTGAATAGTTTAAATAGACAATGAGGCCCTCCCTGGTGGTGCAGCGGGTTAAAGCACTGCACTAAGAAGCTTAAGCCACTTCCACATGAGTTCGATCCCCGCCTGCCCCAGAGGAGATCCACATGGCGTGGCAGACCTCTCCTGACCCGCCCGCTGCTCCCCTCGGCAGTGTACCTCGTTGATCTGCCTGTTCTGTTCCCCACTGTCTCTGGTGAATACTCTCACCCTCCACATCTCTGGTCTGTACCCCAGTTCTGTATGAATAAATAAATCTTTTAAAAAAAAATAGACAATGAAAATAGATCGAAGAGTGAATTAAAAAACATAACCCAATTATACACTGTCTATTAGAAACTCACTTTAAATACAACAAAGCAGACAGGGTGAAAGAATAAAAATGAAAAATATATAACAGCAAGTTTTTTTTTAAAAGCAGGACATTTGTCCCTCCTTGGTGGTGCACCGAGTTAAAGCACAGCACTAAGAAACTAGCCACTTCAGCATGAGTTCGATCCCTAGCCAGGGAGTTGACCCACATGGCATGGCAGACCTCTCCTGTCTTGCCTGATGCTCCCCCCAGTGGTGTATTTCAGCAGATTCACTTGTTTTGCTCCCCACTCTGTCTCTGCTGAATCCTCTCACCCCCCGCACCTCTGCCCTGCACCCAGGCCTTGTTTCCCTAAATAAATAAATATTTAAAAATAAGCAGGGCATTTATATTAACATCATCTAACCTAGATTTCAGAGCATAAACAGTAGTGACAAAAAGTGATATATAATGAATAAAGAAACAACAGTGTTGAAGGGAAAGAAGATAAACCCAGTTATACTCAGAACTAAAACACCATACTCTCAGCAATTGACAGAGCTACTAGGGGGAAAATATAGAACATATATAAAAGAACTGAACAACAGCATCCATCAACAGTTCATTGATATTTATAAAACAATAACAAAATCCACATTCTCTTCAAATATTCACCACCAAGGTGAGAAACTGTACACCTGAAACCTATACTGTCGTAAAGTAGCAATACCACAGCAGGTCTACAGGGTGTCTGTACTCTTACACATACCTGCCATTTGGCATCTGTATTTTTTTTTCTTGTGATGAGGACCTGTAAGATCCATGCTCTTTAACAACTTTTAAATATATAATACAGAGTTATCAAGTGCAGTCAACGTGCTGTCCAATAATTTTTAAAAAGAGAAAACCTACAGAATAGAAGAAAAGTATGCAATTCCTAAATCTAGTAATGATATAATATCCAAAATACACAAAGAACTTTGACAATGCAGGTGCAAAAAGAAACCCTCCTGTAATAAATGGGCAGAGAAATTGAACAGACACTTCTCCAAAGTAGATACACGTGGCCAGTGAGCGCACGGAAGGCTGAGGAACACCACCAGCCTCCACAGGAACACAAGGGAACTATGGGAATGAAGCTACACAGCCACTACAAAGGTTGTGATTCTTTTTTTCAAAAGAGAAAACAAGTGTTGGTGAGAATGTGGACAGAGGGAGTAAACTTGCTGGAAAGCCGTTTGGCAGTTCAAGAAGTAAAGTACATCTTTACTGTGTGCCCTAGCGTTTCCAATCCTAGTCTATACCCCAAAGCTTGAAAACTTATGTAATAAGTATCCCCCACAACGTGTACACCCACATGCACAGCAGATTTACACATGAGAGCCAAGTGGAACAGCTCAATGTCCACTCACTCATGAGCCAGTTTTAAAGTGTAGTCTATTCATGCGGGGTGGTTGCGCTCTGCCGGCCAGGCTTGTCCTGGATGGACCCTGGAAACACTAGCAAAAGTAGCAGAAGTAGGGCCCTTCCTGGTGGTACAGCAGGTTAAAGCAGAGCACTATGAAGCTGCCCAAAGCCACTGCAGCATGAGTTCGATTCCCAGCCAGGGAAGTGACCCACATGGCGCAGTAGGCCTCTCCGGTCTTGCCTGCTGCTCCCCTCAGCAGTGTATTTCAGTAACCCACCTATTCTGTCCCCCCTCTCTGATGAATCCTCTCACCCCCACACCTCTGGCCTGTACCCCAGTTCTTGTTTGCATAAATAAATAAATCTTTAAAAAAAAAAAAAAAGGAGAAGTGAAGGACGGGTATCACAAGCTATATCCAAAGTAGAGACATCTATAAAACACTAAACCAGAGGTTGGCAGACTGTAGGAAAGGGTGGGAGAAAGATTAACTACTCATGAGCTTGGGATTTATTTAGGGGTGAAAATATTCTAGAATTAGGTACTGGTGATAGTTCATGACTGTGAATATACTAAAATTGCTGATCTACAAACTTAAATATTTATTTTTGGTGGAGAACTGGAATATAGGCCAGAGCTGCAGGTGTGAAAGGATTTGCCAGAGACAGAGTCAACCTTAAATACTTTTATAGAATATGAATTACATCTTTTAAAAAGGAATCTAGGAGGAAAAATCTTTAAAACTTTACTTATAGTGGAGGGACTTAAAAGAGTCCCGAGGGCCGCCCTAATGGGCAACAGGTTGGGACCCTGCACTGCAAGCTGGTGTCAGCTGCTTCAGTTCCAGCTCATCCCCGGCCCAGAGGTGACCCCTGCGCGGCAGACCTCTCCTGACCTGCCCACTGCTCCCCTCAGCAGTGTGCTTGATCAATCTGCCTGTTCTGCTCCCCACTCTGTCTCTGGTGAAGCCTCTAAGCACCCCTGCACCTCTAGCCTGTACTGCAGTCTCTGTATGAACACATAAATAAATCTTTTAAAAAATATTTGTTTAAAAAAAAGAATTCCTGAGCCGTGGTGTTGGGGGAGGGGGGGAGGTAATGTCCACATGTTAGAAGGGAGTCAGTGTCCTAAAGATAAGCCTCTCCCCCAAATCAAGGAACTTAGTCAAAATCTAGCAGAATTATTCAGATAATTAACACGCCAAACAAACATTAATGGCAATGTCTGTCTTTTATCATACCTTTGAATAGTCAGTCACTTTGGAAATACCTGGATTTGTAAGTTTTTAGAAATTAAATTATGAATCTACCTAATCTTGGTTCCTTGTCTATGGCGGATCTTTAACAATCTTTTTCTTATCAAAGTTTTATATATCGCCCTTGGTGACCCTGAGTCGTCTACATTTCCATCGGAAATCCCTTCCTCAGTGTCCACTCTCCCACACAAGTCCCCCGTGACTGTTCGGCCTTTCCCTCTGCTCTTTGTTCTTTCTCATCTCACCACTCCATCTTTTCAAAACCACCCTTCCACTAATTTCCCACCTCCCTTTCTAGTTTTTCGTTTCACTAATTACATTTAATCTACTTCGTACTTTCTGCATTCTGCTGCTGTCTCTAGCTTCCTGCCGTGTGTGAGGCCCTGAGTCACCCTGGCTGAAGGGGAGACAGAAGTGGCAGGGCTCGGCCTGAAGCTGCAGAGAGGGCTGCCTGGGCCTCCCAGGCCCTGGGGCTAGAGCCAGAGGGTGTGGTCAGGCCTGGTGGGGAGAGCCCTGCACCCAGGGGCCCTCAGGGCCCCTCTGTCCACTCTGCAGCGCAGGAGGGAAGGGCACAGACAGTTCAGTTGCCATGGGGCTGTCTCTGGGGGACTCACCTGCTGCCAGATGTCCCAGCCCTATGTCATAATGCAGCTGGGAATGAACAGCATCGCCTTGCCTGTGACTCCTGCCAGACCTTGGGAAGAAGAGACACCAGGTTAATGAATCATCCAGAAGGGAACGATGAAAGTTCAATTTTGTGTAAGAAACATGACCAGATCTATTAAGCAGGCTAGGGGAGGGTGTGAATTATCCTGAATTCAAGGTCTGGGGATGGAGGGGATGCTGAGGCTGTGGGGATGTGAGGCTTGTGCAGACCCATGGAAAATAAGTATTAAATCATTTATTCATTTCCTGCTACCTCTGATGCCAGACTGACAGGCACTGTATTCTGATTATCATCGAGGATGTTGAAGAAATAATACAATGGGATTCAGAAAAGCCTAAAAAAATAAGACAGGTGGGTAAAATTCCCATGTAGTAAGGAGCTAAACAGCACATTTAAGCCAATGTCGCGAGCGTGTGGAATTGTCTTTTATGGATTCAGAGTTTAAATAATCAGGAGTCAACTCAGTAGAGGCTGACTTCTCCTCCCAGTCGCCAGGGGCTCTGGGTGGGGAGCGACTGGGACATGAACAGTGAGAACTGAGGGCCCCAGGTTGGACAGTAGAAAGAATGTGGGAGCAGCATGCTGGCACACGCTGGGGCTGAGATCCAGCGCTGAGCAGAGAGGACTGGGCCGGTGCTGGGCTGGGGAGCATGGGCGAGCAGCCAGGGCCCAGCACTGTGAGGCCAGATCGACAGACCCATGAGCTCTGGGCAAAGCCTCCCGTGTGGATGCGGCCTCGGGCGTCCCTTGCCCATGCACCCGTGGGCAGTCAGGAGGGCACTGTTGATTCTGGGGCAGTCAGGTGTCCATAGTGGCAGAGGGCAGGCCCTTGGTGTCCTGCTAACGCCCCGCAACTCCCCAAGGTGGGTTGACTGTGGGAGAACCCGGGCCCCTTCGGAAGACCCTGCCGCCGGTGTGTGTCTCCTTGTGCCTAGGTTAAGAAGAAGAAAGTCTTGCCACCAGACAACTCAGGGGCAGCCACGAAGATCCAGGCCTGGTGGCGGGGCACCCTGGTGCGCCGGACGCTGCTGCACGCGGCCCTCAGGGCCTGGGTCATCCAGAGCTGGTGGAGGCTGGTTCTGGACAGGCAGCGGCAGAGGATGCGCAGGGAGGCCCTGATCGCCTACGCGACCCGAGAGAGGGCCGTGGTCAAGCTCCAGTCCTTAGTCCGCATGTGGCGCGTGCACTGGCGGTACTGTCAGGTGCTCGAAGCCATCTACGTCATCCAGTGTCACTGGCTGTGCCACAACTGCCAGACCTGTGCTCTCCTCCGGGGCCACTGTGTCGTCACAGCCACTCACCTGCAGTTCCACATTGAGGTCATTAACCCCTAAGGCTGGGCAAGGAGGAGCACTGAGCCTCCTGTCCTAGTAAAGGTCTAACCTGGTGCGCTGTGCCTCCTGGTCTCCCCGAGAGCTGGAAATTGGGCACCCAGGCGTGCAGCCTGTGGTTCTCCTGGGAAAGGACTCCAGGCAAGTTCTCCTCTGCCCCAAGGACCGTGCTCTGGACGGACAGTGGCCTCGTGCTGCGTCCACGTGTGTGTGTGTCAGAACAGAAGCGGAGGTCCTAGGCCACCCTGCTATGAAGGACCAGCAGCCCCAGTGCCCACCCCAACCCCATTCCTTCTCATCCGGGAGCTGAGAAACAGGCGGGTTCCATCTCCCTGAAACTGAGCACCTCTGTACGTGAGAACTGAGGTCTCTGCCGCCTGGGTCGGGAATTGGCTGGCGCCCAGGAAGCCTCCAGCAAGGTGTCTTTGGCAAGTACCTTGAGAGAATGCCAGCGTTTGGCTTCCCCTTGCAGGATCAGTGACTGCTGCCCAGGGGAAGGACGGGAGGCTGGCCCTAGCCGTGGGAGGGCCTGGCGCGCTAATGAGCATATGGCCACCCTGGGGTCAGTACCAGACCGGAGTCACGTGCTTCAGCCTGCGTCAGAGCTCCTTCCCCTAGAGCAGTGCAAAAACAGGACTCCTGGTGTCACCTCCTCCCCCCATTCTGTCTCCCTCCTTGCGGGGGGAACAGGGGGTTTCATCACAGGTCAAGGTGGTCACACCAGTCTCCTTCAGGGTCACTAGAAAAGGTTTTTGCTCCCGTCCTTCGCCACACAGCCCCACGGTCATGCTAAACCACAGATAGTCAACAGAACTTTCTGCGTGATGACATTTTCTGTGCTCTCAGTAATGAGAAACTAGCCACTCATGTTTGTGGGCACTTGAAATACAGCAAGTGCAAACACAGAGTTGATTTTTTACTGAGTTAAAATTTAAATGAGGCCCTCCCTGGTGGCGCAGTGGGTTAAAGCACAGCACTGAGAAGCTAAAGCCACTTCCGTATGAGTTCGATTCCCGCCTGCCCCGGAGGTGACCACATGGCGTGTCAGACCTCTCCTGACCCGCCCGCTGCTCCCCTCAGCAGTGTACTTCGGTAGATCTGCCTGTTCTGCTCCCCACTCTGTCTCTGGTGAAGCCTCTCGCCGCCCCTGAGCCGCTGGCCTGTATCCCAGTTCTGTGTGCACAAATAAATAAATCTTCAAAAAAAAAAATTTTTAATGATCCTGTGAAAGTCCTGCCTCTCACACCCCACAGTCTTCTCTAAATTTTTCTATATATTAAATGTTGAGAGTGATTAAAAGGAAATAATAAATACTGGGATTACACCACTAAAGTTCATAATTATTAGACAAAAACTAAAGAATATATAGGAGAACTGAACAGATGCATCAATCAAAAGACTTTCCAACGCTGACAGACGCTCAGGATACATTCATACCCATGAGCTGAGAACTGTAACTCTGAAAACTAGAGCTATAAAAGACACTTCCTAATGACTGATAGCTTATATAGAGTTAAAGGATGTCTTAAAATTACTTTAAAGAAAATGAAATATATAGATATACTCCTAACAAATAATGTAGAGTATCTGTATGCTAAACATTACAAAATGATGATGAAAAAAATCTAAGAAGATGTAAGTCAATGGGAAACAGGCCATGTTACACTGTATAACTCAGCAGAATAGTGATGGCAATTCTCCCCAAATTGATACTTTAATACAACTAATATCAAACCTCCAGAAAGCTGTTGTACAGACATAGACAAGTTTATTTTAAAATGTGTTTGGTGGGCCCTCCCTGGTGGCTCAGTTAAAGCACCACATTAGGAAGCTATCACAGCCACTGCAGCATGAGTCTGATCCCCGGCCAAGGAGCTGACCCACACGGCACAGCAGACTTCTTCTGACCTACCCGCTGCTCCCCTCAGCAGTGTATTTCAGTGGATCTGCCTGTTCTGCTCCCCACTCTGTCTCTGATGAATCCTCTCACCCCCTGCATCTCTGGCCTGTACCCCAGTTCTATATGTATAAATAAATAAATCTTTTAATAAAATTTGTATGGAATCAAATCCCTAAATTGCTTAAAGCAAACGAAAGGGATGAATAAATAAGTGGGACCAAGTACACTATCCAGTACTAAGGCTGAGATAGATGTAAGCTGTAGAACAAGAGGATGTGCTGTTGGTTAAGGGATGGCCACATTAATCAATGAAATCGAGAACCCAGAAATAGACATACCTACATAGCTATGCTCAATTAATTGTTTATAAAGGTCCAAAAACAATTAAATGGAGGAAGTATACAGCCTATTCTATAAATGCTTCTGTGACCCTAAGCCAAAAAAAGATAACGAAAAGGACCTGATTGAAACTTCACATCTTATAGAAAAATCAGCTCAAAATGGATCATCAAATTAAGTGGGAAAGCTAGTACAATTACTGTTTTTATTTTTTCCTCTTAGTTTGAAAACAGTAAGAAACTACTCTCAGTAAATTTCAAGTACACAGTTCAGTGTTATTATATTTACCATACTGTGTATTCAATCTCTGAACTTACTCATATAATTGGAGTTGTATCCTTTGACCAAAATGGCCCCATTTTCCACCACCTGGTCTAATGATTTTATTAGATTCCACATATAAGTGTTATCACACAGTATTTGTCTATTTTGTTTAGCATCACGTCCTCCAGGATCATCTACATTGTCATAAACATATTATTCAGCTATCATCTTTGATATGATAGCTAAATAATATTTTATCTGTGTGTGTAGCTATACACAAATATTCTATCTGTGTAGATACCCCAAAGAATCAGTCTCAAAGAGGTCTTAGCACACCCGTGTTCACAAGAGCATTAGTAACAATAACCGAGAGTTGGGAGTAACCCATGGGTTCCTTCATGGATGAATAAACAAAATGTGCATATACAGACGTGCAAGGAAATATTACTAACACTTGCAAAGAAAAAAAGCCCTGACACTTTACAATAATGTTGAAGACATCATGCTGAGTAAATTAAGTCAGTCACAAAAAAAGGACAAATACTGTATGATTCCACTCACATGAGGCATTTGGGGCAATCAAATTCATAGAGACAGAAAGTAGAACTGTGGGAGGAGGGCATGGAGAATTACTTTTACTGAGTACAGTTTCAGTTTTACAAGATGGATACAGTTCTGAAGATGGATGATGATGAATTTGCACAATGTAAATATAAAGCCCCTAAAATATTTTCCCTGAATAATTTAAATGATAAATTTTATATTCTGTCTGCTCACTTACTATTTTTAAAATACTTAAAAAAGTTTTTTTTGAGTGGGAGAAGGATGAGACATATAGCACCATTAAGTGGGGCCTCTACAGTGACCACTTGTAAAGGAGTCTCCATGGAGACCGGGGGCTGGGTCACGCCCCCCCTCACCCATGGCAGGCACTGCTAATCAGTCACAGGCCCTGCTCATCCAGCACCAGACCCTGGCGTCCTTCTCCACGCTGGACCCAGACAACTGCTGCTTTCTCAGCGTTCATTTGTGAGATGCCCAAATTTGCCCACCGTTAGCTCGATGGCTTCTTTGAAGTATGTCTGGAAAGAGAGCTGGGGACACAGGAATGCCAGACCTGATCATTCCTTTATTGGAAAGGGTATGCATTGTTGCACTCTGCAAGCCTGTGAGCCCAAAGAGATTTCAAGTTGAACATTCAGCTGGTTTTCTTTGACGTCATATTGTCCCTGAATGAAGCCACGAGTATGGCAACTATGCCAGCGCCAGTAGACCTGGATGATGCGGACGGCGTGGAGCAACTGGCAGTAGCGGAGTCGGATGCGCCACATACGGACCCAGGACTGCAGTTTGACCACTGCGCGTTCTTGCCGGGCATAGCACTGTAGCGCTTCGCGACGCCGGTTTTCCAGGTTCTCCGCCAGCTTCTGTCTCCACCAGCACTGAATAACACATGCCCTCAGCGCCGCGTGCAGCAGCGTCCTGCGCACCAAAGTGCCCCGCCACCAGGCCTGGATATACACGGCTGCTTGCTCTTCAGCCTCTGTGCTGTTACGTTTGGGACCTTGCCAGAGAGAACAGGGGACACAGGAAAATCATACGTTTCGATCCTAAAGTTCACCATGAAGGGACACTAACATTGTATCAACAATCACCCCTCTTTCTGATGTTCAGGAGAGCCATGGAGGGCAACAACTCAAACCAGGTGACCCAGTAGATGTCCTGCTTCTGCCACTCTGGCTGATGGGCATAGACTCATCCTCTCTCCCTGAGGCTCAGGGCATCCTCTCTCCCTGAGGCTGGTCTGCAAAACAAACCACCTGCACTTGCCATTCACCCAGTCTTACAGACCAGATTGGCCAGTCTCCATCAAGAGCACCATGACACAGAGGTGAGAAAAATACAAGTTTTGCCTGGACTTGACCACCCACCTGGCATCCAGGTCTCTTTCCTTCAGACCCCTCCCATCTTCTGGGGAGGCGGAGGGTTGCCAGGCTCAGGTAACTATGAGAAATGCACCACCCTGCCAGAAAGCCTGGGTGAATCTGACTCTCTCTTTTCCACCATTAAATGCCCAGGACTTGGAGTGGATCGTCATCTCCCCCCAGGTCTGCATGCTACGAAATTACCCATGGTTAGGGGCTGGGTGGTCCCATTGCCCTCAGGTCTGTTCTCCAGCCACAGCTCTGGCCAGAGGAGTGGAGGAGAGAGAGCTGTGATGTCATAAGGGCACCTGTGACTCGGGATGGCTCACCAATAGTTGAGTTTCTTCTAAGGGGCACCTAAGAAGACCTATTTCGCCTAACGCCCCAAATACTGATCCATTGACACAAAAGTGTATAATGATACACATTAAAACCTGACTGTTGTTCATTGAGTGGGGTGGGGGGTGGGAGGGGAAGAGAAGGATGCGGTAAGGCTGTGGGTGGGGCATCAGTGAGAGGGGGAGGAGAAGACTGGAGGAGGTGGGAGAATAGGAGAACGGGTGGGGTATGACGCACGGGACAGTGAAGCTGCAGGAAGCGTCTGAAGATAGTGTTAGCAGCCCCCGGGAGACTCTCCCATTAGTCTGGCCCCAGAGTCTTGCCACTAGTCACCACATCCCACTGCCCGTGGTAATAGCAATGGGGTCACGATATTCACCCCACTTCTCAGGGAGGAAACTGAGGTGCAGACCTCACACGGCTTACCCAGGTCTCAAAACCGAGAAGGTGTGGTGTCAACCTTCACCCCAGTGCTGCTGGCTCTGGCCTGCCCTGAACCTCCGCATCAGCACCCCATGCTTCTTCAGCGCTGCTGTTTCTCATGGTTCCTAGATAAAGGTCTAAGAAGACTCCATCCTGACCCTAAAACGCAGCTAAGTGAGCGAAGCCAGGCCCCAAAGAGGACCTGCTCGTGAGCGCACGTACGTGCTGCAGAGAGGACAGCCATCACCGCTGGGCACAGCATGAGTCTGCACCTGTGGCTGAGGACTGCATGTGAGCATTGTGGGGTGTTGAGTATTTTGATTATCCAGGTGGTCACACAGCTAGGTAAACTTGTCCAGCAAAAGCAATGAAATGTATACCTAAAATGGATGTATGTTACATGCATGCAAATTACACCTCAAAGTTGATTTAGATACCTATAGCTCTGCTGGTTGAAATGCAGAGAGCTTGTACGAGGATCTGAGTGTGGTCGGGGCTGACTGATATCGACCAGCCAAGTCATTTTATCTGCCTCACCAGTTAGTGCCTGTTCTGTTTCGGATGTTCCCCGAACATGTGTTAACATGCAGTACAGAGATTTTCCCTCTTTGGTCACACTCCCATATGTCTATCTACCTGCCCAAACTTCTCTGTCCTCAGCTTTCCAGGCTTTGTATTTCTAGGAATTGACCATAAGCCATTCACCACTGCTACAAAGTTTGTGTATATTCTCTCAGGCCAGTTCTTTCTCCATACTAAGTGAGGGCACAGCTTGAAACTGCTCTTTGGAAGGACTTTTCCTCACCACCACCTTTCAAGATGGCCCTTGAGTGAGGTCATAGCTCAGCCGCTGTCTATTTGGGGGTGGCATGCATATACCAAGTTTCACAATCTGCAAATCAGGCTCAGGCATTTTTCTCTTATGTCAACTGGTCCCAAGGGTATGAGCTGAGATGGCATGGGGTACAGTGGCGGGCATTATTTGAGAGCCTGGGCTACCAGCCCTCACTGCTTGTTTGTTCTGTCACTTTCCTGTTGTCTGTCCCCACTGCGATCAGTCAACCTAGAAAGGAGTTCGGGGAGATCTGGGAATTTAAGATTTAGAGGGGTCTCAGCCCAAATGACCCCACCTATGTGTCAGGGTTTCATGTTTTCACCTGCCCCAAACTTGGCAAAGCACTACCTGAGTGGAGAGTTCAACCTTCTTAAGAGGTAGGCCGCTCTGATGACTCCACCCTGGATTCGGCTCTCAGCTTTCCCTGCCCTGCTGCTGAAGGCGAGAGTTCCTGTATGTGCTGCAGGGGACCTTCTGGCTTTTACATTTGGCTTTTAATTGTTGATACTTGCTCTCTATCTTTTGTTATCTTTCCCACCACTTCAAAGGAGCCTCCACTCCTTCCTCCCCACTTTTATTTTTTAAATATATTACATCCTCCTTCGTTTTTGTACAATGTATGATTTCCTTGTGAAACTCCCACCGCCAGTTCACCCATGCACCGTCACCTCAGTCCCTTGTGCTCTTCCCACACCCGTCCTGGTCCTTCTCCCTCCTGCCCCCTACAGAATGCCTCTGCTCTGTAGTCAACCACCCAATCTTTGAGTTAATGCCCCCCACACTTGTCAAACACCTGCATGTCACATGAGCTGGTATGATCACAGTTCACCATCTGTAGATATCATTTCAAAGCCACTTTTCACCCTGGGCTCTCTTGTCCTCTGCTTGTTGTCGGTATTGGGGGTCCTCATGGTGGGCAATGAAGCAGTGAATGAACCTCAAAACCCCATTTTATTGTTTTCTTTTTCAGACAATCCTCGGCTTCAACATTTGCAGTCTGAGTTCTCCATGAAAGGAGACAAAGTTTATTGTTGAGGGTGTTTATTAAGGAATGTCTTTAGATCTCTACGTATGGGAGGAAAGGGCAGCAGGCAGGAATGGGAGTGGGAAGAGATGATGTTATGTTGGCTGACAGCCTCTAAGGGCATCACAGGAAGCGCTGATGCTGACAAGACCCAGCACAACTGCCCCGCACTAAGCTCGAATGGCTGGTCCAGGTCTTTCTATGTCCATCTGGCTCAGTCATTGTGGGAAGTTTGACCTTGATCTGCGCTGAAGTAGGACTGCGGTGGCTGGCAGCTGCTCTGCGCATTCCCAGTAGCTGAGGCAACAAGCCCATCTCCAGAGTCTCCTTAATCATTCGAGACTTAAAAAATAAACATATCCCAAAGGAATATTACTCAGCAACCAAAAAAAAAAAAAACATGTCTTTTGCAGCAACATGGGTGAAGCTGGAAAAGATCATGCTTGGTGAAATAAGCCAGAAAGAAAAGGAAAAATACCGGATGGTTTCTCTCATAGCAGGAATATAACAGAACAGGTGAGAAATGATAATGATAATGATGAACAGCTATAGCAGAGACAGTTTGTGGGAGTGGAGTGGGGAATGGGATCAAAAATAGTGGGGGAGGGAAATGCACTGGACCATGGTGATGGCAAATGGGTGATTTGGTGATGGGAAGCACAAGGGGATTGCAACTGAGATAGAAAAATGCACAAAAATATGTAAAAATAGGCCCTCCCTGGTGGCGCAGCGGGTTAAAGCACAGCACTGAGAATCTAAAACCGCTTCCACATGAGTTCAATTCCCGCCTGCCCCGGAGGTGACCACATGGTGTGGCAGACTTCTCCTGACCTGCCCGCTGCTCCGCTCAGCAGTGTACTTTGTAGATCTGCCTGTTCTGCTCCCCACTCTGTCTCTGGTGAAGCCTCTCACTGCCCCTGAGACTCTGGCCTGCACCCCAGTTCTGTATGCACAAATAAATAAATCTTTTTTAAAAATATATATATATGTAAAAATAAGCTAATATAATTGTAAAAAAATAAAAATAAAAAGGTTCAGGAATAAAATAAATAAATAAATAAACATATCCCTTATTTAGTACAAGTCCTGTGAATGTGGACTGAAGGGAAGACCTGAGCCTGTGTTTCAACATTTTGATCTAATTTCCATGAGCATTTTCTGAGTTTTCCTTTTCTTGAGGCTCTGAGTTTTGAGCTGAAAACCGCAAAGTAGATTTTAGCCAGTGACTGATCGTTTTCTTCTGAGATGGTTTGTCTCTCTCTTTTTTTAACTTGAAAATCTAGCTTGTTTTTGTCCTTTCCTTCATTTTCTTGCATTCTCTTCCTGAACAATTTAATTTGAAAACTATTAGCCTGGGCAGAGCAACATAAGACACCTTGACGGAAACGGAGCTCATGGCACAGAGGGGGCTGTGGACCCTAAGAAGGTGAGGAGGCATTGGCACAGGGGGGCTGCCCAGCGCGGAGCCCAGGAGGGTGAGGAGGGAGGCCAAGAGTGAGCATCGAAGGCCACGGCCGGAAAGGGTATCGGGCCTCCACAGTGGTTCAGGGAGTCAGGACAATCACAGTGGGGGTGGTATTCACACAGAGGGTGCCGACATTTCAGGTGTGGGAACCTGGAACCAGAGCTAAATGAAGAGTTTGGGAAACTGGGGGTCAAGAGAGAGGAAATGACATCTATGACTGTACAGCCACGAGTGGGGAGCCAGGGATCTGACCTAGGTCAGTCTGATTCCAAAGACACTGGATGCAAAAAGAGAGGCAAGGAGCGAAGACAGAAATGCCATGAGTAGGAGAGAGACTGGGGCAGGAGAGACCAGAGGACAGACACAGCGCACATCCAGCCGGAACGGCAGCTGGAACCCCCACTCCAGGGCAGCGTCTCAGAACCTCTGTGGGCTGAGGCACCTGCTCACCAAGGCAGAACGGCCGGAGCATAGGGCTTCTTGGTAAAAAAATGACCCAAGTGTCCAGGCCCTTTCCTCTCTGTAGGGAACCACGAGCCAGCAATGCCCAGATGCGCTGGACAGCCTGAGCATGATCTCTTCATTGGTTTTTGTCACCACTGAGACCCTAATCCCACCCAGATGGCAACTTTCCCCAGGACAGGACTGTCCGAAGTCCCAGCTTTGCCTTGACCAGGCCAGTGGAGACTGGACCTGCAGGGAGGGTAAGGGAGACAAAGCTAGTGCCTCAGCTCCAGGGGCCTGACAGCCTGGGGCCTGACACTCCTTAAAGGGTTTGGCTGGCACCAGGGTGCCTCTGCCTGTTCCCACACTGATGGAAAACCCCCACCCCCCACCCCCCGCCACCCCAACACGCACACACACCTACCAGGTGTGCAGAATGAGTCCCAGCTTCTGTTTCGGTCTGGAGGTCAGGGATTACAGTTTGAGGTGGGGCTGACAACTGGGGTTTTGTATTCTAACAAGTTCCAGTTTGAGTCTCAGTTCTGACTTGGGGACCAAATATGGTGAGACAGCCCCCAGCTCACAGGCAAGGAGGACCACAACGTGGGTGGGTGGAGCCTCTCCACCATCAGGGTGGGGTAATTGGCCCTCAGCAACTAGCCCCAGAGGGCTGAATTCCTGGTAAATGTGCTGCCATTGCCATCACCCTCCCCCAGAGCCCCCAAGTCTCCACCCCACACAACCTTAGGGCGAGGCATCACGTACACAGATCAAACATGAACACATCGGGTTGACTCACGTAGCAGACCTGTACACAAAACCTTCCCAACTCTCGCAGTGTTTGCTAACCAATCGCAGTCTGTTCCATCAGGAAAAGAACTGACTCCTGCATATCCCCAGACATCCCCTGCATCTATGTGAAGTCCATCTGCCACCATTGGCCCTGACCTCCTGGAGCTCACCAACAGGGAGACAGGAAAGACCACATCATTGCTTTATTGGGAGGGGAATACACTCGGACACAATGCAAGGCCCTGAGCCCAGCAGGATCTCTAACTCGAGATGCAGCTGGTCGGCTGTGACTCTGTACTGGCCCTTGATGAAGCCCCGGGAGGCACAGGAGTGGCACCTCCAGTAGGCCTGGATGATGCGGGCGGCGTTGAGCAAGCGGCAATAGCGCCTGCGGATGCGCCACATGCGGACCCAGGCCTGCAGCCTGACGGCCGCCCACTCCTTCCGTGTAAAGGTCTCCAGCGCCGTCCGCCGCCTCTTCTCCAGCTGCTCCACCAGCTTCTCCCTCCACCAGCTCTGGATGACCCAGGCACAGAGGGCCGCGTGCAGCAGCGCCCTGCGCACCAGGGTGCCCCGCCACCAGGCCTGGATCCTTACAACATCTGTGTTTCCGCGAGGAGGGTTCTTTGGGATCTTGTAAGAAAAAAGGGGATATTCAGAGAATGTTTCCACACCCTTTAGCCCCAGAGTATGCCAGGAAGGGCCCCTAATTCCCTATCAATAATCACCCCTTTCTGCGACCCTCAATCGTCAGACACAGGCTGGAACCGGAATACCAAGTCGGCGTCCTGCCTCAGCACATCCCGGGAACTGTCCATGTACACATCAGGCTGACCTCTGAATGTCAGCACCCCCATCTGTGAAATGGCTGTGCATCTGCCCCGGGTCCCCGATTCTATGTGGATCAAGTTGTCAGCCGATGGCAAGAACCCCATGATCTGTGGGTAAAAGTCTTACTTACCGTGTCCCGTCTGAGCCTGTCCCCCTAACCAGGGTCCCATGAACCTTCATACCCCTGCCCAACCCAACCCAGCCCCTGCTGGAGAAGCTGCACCCTTTGCTAGTACTGTCTTTTCATCCTTGACACCAGCTCCGACCCCAGTCGGCTCTCGCCACAGTCTGACGTTGCCCCCATCTCCATACATTTCTCTCATTTCTCTCCCTTCTTCACTTCACTTGACTTTCACACTTAAAATCTTCATCATTAGCAAACATTTGTGCACAGACTCTCACACGCACAATATCAAGTCTAACTTTCTGCATCTCAGCCATTCCATTCCACCACACGGCCACATCCCAGCCCAGCCCTGTGTGTTCTGGAGGTCACACTGTTAAGGGGAAGGATGCCCTAAAGGAACTCTGTATGGTTTTGTGAACTCCACCCTACTCCAGCTTTCTGGACTCCACCCCCTTCTCCAGTGGTTGGAAACTACAACTCCCAGCAGCACCAAGGAGAGAACGGCGATGCCCCAAGGGCGGAGCTAAGCAGGCATTCTGGGACATTGGGGGATAAATAGAGAGCAGTTTTCCAACTGTTGTTCTAGAGAGATAACACTCTCTCTCTGGAGCAATGGGTCTCCGTGTGACTGGGGGCTAGCCTTAGTTCTGTTATTAGAGCTCAAAGTTAGAAGAGCTGGTAAGATATATCAGTTACCTTGTATCGTATCTCTTTCTCTCTTTCCCTGGTTTGTTCCTTTTCCTTTCCCCTCTTTTGTAAATAAACCCATTACCCTTGTGTGTGCCTGCAGAACAATTAAATTTTAAGCACGCGGGTGAGTACCCACAGACAGGCAGTCCATTTTCACTCTGGGCTACCCTGTAACAACACGTCTCTGGGTCTCTTAGTGAAATAATTCACTCCCTTCGTGTCAGTCAGAATCATAGATTTAGCTTGAAAATTAGAGAAGAGGACCGAAAAGGGTAAGTTTACTCCTGGTCTAGCTCTGGGTCACACAAAAGACACTAATCACCAGCACTAGAACACCAAGTCAAGAGACATCCAAGTCAGGCTCCTCCTACCTCAGTCTCCACTGAGACTAACGATGACTGAGATAAATCAGTCAGTTCCGTTTCCTGCTGAAGCTCATCTTTAGTCTGTTCTTCAGTATTTTCAGGCTGGTCCGTCTCCTGCAATCAATTAGGAGAAAGGCTAACCAGTGGCTAACCAAAGGCTAATCAGAATCCCATACATCCCCTATTTCTGGGGCTTTCCAGAGTCTTCACATGTCAAGGGGATTTCTTCATCCTGACAAATCTATGGAACATCCCTACAAAGCCTGGTATGTTCCATCTCTCCTACCATTGGTCCCACATGGATTGGGTGTAGATGGATCAAATCCCCTCCGATCTGTGTCTCTCCAGCTATGGCATGAGTAGAAAGAGACAACCGAGACCTATGATGTCATAAGGGCCGCTATGACTCAGGCACCAGAATGGCTCCCAAGAGTTAAACCTCCTTCAAGGAAAAGACAGAGGTACTGGCCTTTCTTTCCTGTTGGAAATTATCCAAGTTCTGGCTACGAACCAAGACACTGGAACTGCTAACTCATTGACATAAAGGTGGACAAAGTTATCAGTCATTGGACATATCCCCAACTACTAAAATCAGGAATGGATTTAATGGTTTATTATGCTTTCATACTATAGAACATGATATAACTGTTTAAAAAGTAGTTAATTTGGGCACAGCAGACCCCCCTCTCCTGTCTCACCTGCTGCTTCTCTTAGCAGTGTATTTCAATAAATCTACCTTTTCTATTGTCCAAATAAAAATAATTAATTTTATGAGGAAGCAGATAAAAGATGTATTTATAAGTGAAAATTTAAAGATCATTATAGTCCCATGTATGTAAGTAAAACTATCTAAGATACATATTTTTATATGGTATGAATGCACATGCAAGCAGAAAAAGATACAGACACCAAACATTTCTTTTTATTACCAGCGATTCCCTTATTGCTCCATCAATAAATTGCTGCATCAGATAAAATTCAAAATCCTTACATTAAAAAAAAAACCTCTCAGCTGATTCAGTAAAGTACCACACCCTACTAAAAGTCATATATGACAAGCCCACAGCTAGTGTCATCTTCAATAGTGAAAAACTCGAAACTTTTTCCCTAAGATGGGGGACGAGAAAAGGATGCCCACTCTCACTACCCCTGTTCCAACATGTACTGCATGAGAAAAAGCTAAAAGACGTCCAAAATGGTTATGAAAAAGTAAAATCATCTCTGCTGGCCGGTAATATTGTCACCGGCACAGGGAGCAGGCCCAGGACCCCTCAGACCCACCCAACCTCCCCCACAAACAGGCAGAGAAGCTAACAGCGTGCCAGCCGCTGTCCACGCCTCACCCAGCAGGAGTGAAGACTGAAAAGAGGCCTCCAGACACTGGTGAGGGCAGACAAGAAGTCGGTGTTGACGGATTCGTGAAAACACAAGGAAAAGAGTGCTCCCGAGAGGCCTCTCTGGGCTTGAGACCAGGAGGGGCTGGGGCTCCGGGGGTCTAGGTTGTGGGACCGTAGTTTGAGAACACGGAAATTAAACTTCACTGGCTGAGAGCAAGGCGAGGGGCCCAGGATGTAATTGTTACCGGTGGGTGCCCATCAGCTGCCACTCGCTGGGTGTTAGGTGCAGCTGACAACTTCCAGGGTACCCCTGCAGGAGGCTGTGTGCCCACAGCTCCCTTTTGGTGGGCCTGGCCTCAGGTCTGCTGTGACTGCCGCGTCCCTTCCTCCCCCAAGCCTCTAGCCCAGCACTTTCCAGCAGCCAGAGCTGGGTTTCTTCCTGTGGACTTGGTGCTTACACTTTTCTGCTCTGTCTTCTCCCAGCTTTTCATTGCACATAAAGAAAACGCCATGACCCCAGTACCGCCCAAACGGTCCCTGCTGACATCTCCAGCTCCCCCCAGCTTCCCATCATGTGCGCACCTGCTTCTCTTGCCTTGAGGCCTGCACACAGGTTACCCCAGGGGCTGGAAGTCTCTTCCCGAGACCTCCCATTGCTTAGGCCTCGGCCACTGTCGCTTCTCCAGGCTATTATCTTACTCTGCTTTGTCTCTGTAACACCAATCATACGAATTTCTGTAATGTCTCTTTATGGATCTGCCCTCTAGAGTATGTACTTCAATGTAGGTTACCCCATGACCCAGAACATGGGGCATGACAGGACTAAGTTTGTTGAACACATGCTACATGGGGAGGGGGTAGTTTCTCAAGAGAAATGGACGCTCCATTTCATAGGACAGGTAATATCACCATTCCTGTGGAGTGTCCTCACCCGTGACACTGACCCCAGAGGTCAGAGGGTCTAGGCCAACGCTACAGAAAGATGATGCTCAGGGCTCCATTCTGAGGAGGGGGATTGCCAGCCACATTGCCTTCACTTCTCTGATGCGCATTCCCCCTTTTGGAGTTAGAGTTGATGTATTACTCTCCCCTGGGGGAGTAATACAAGGGAGTTGTTTCGTTCCATTTTGGGGGGACAGTGCTTAGGCCTTACCTGGACCCATTATTGGGGGAGGGGGAAGAGTGGACACCAGCCACTCACTGGATGTACCAGCCTCCTAAAGTGGCTAGAAAAGTGGAGTCTCATCATTCCATCCTTAACTATGACCAAATTGCCTTCTAGCAATATCCTCCCCTACACAGCTGCAGACCAGCTCTGACCGGTGGGAAGTGATGCTCTGGACCAAGCAGCAGGGCATACGGGACACTGCAGAAACGTCTCTAGTTTCCACACCTTTAGCAGCATGGTTGGAGTGCTTCCCATCAAGTGGTGGAACCCCTTTTCCCTTGAATCTGGGCTAGCGTGGGAATGACTTTAGCCAACAGAATGTGGCAGAAGTGCCAGATCCAAGCCTAGGCCTCTATGAGGTGCCAGTTTCCTAGCTGAGGTCTTAGACTGGCCTACTGCCCATCAAAATAGCAGACATTAGCCAAGATCAACTGTTTCCAACCCAAGGCTGACAGCAAAGCATGAAAAATCTCAGCTGAGACCAGATCAATCTTTGTCCAAGCAGTAACTGCTCTAAGTCAGAGTTTAGGAAAGTCTGTTACCCAGCAACAGCTAACTGACGCAGAGGTGTGGAGAACACCTGCTCCACTTTCAGAAGCTAGGTGGGAGGCACAGCCTCATGAAATTGTCAGGTTTTGGTCACAGAAAAAGGGAAAGTAGCTGAAAGCACCAGGTTTGTTAACAGCAGCAGCTGCTCAAAAACTACATGGACTAAAGCCCAGAAATAAACCCTCCACATATGATCAAATGATTTTCAACAAGGGAGCCTCGACCCTCAGTGAAAAAAAGGACAGTCTCTTCAGCAAATGGTGCTAGCAAAATGAGATAGACACACACAGAGAGAATGAAACCAGACCCCTGGGCCTCCCTGGTGGGGCTTTATGAAGCTATCAGCAGCCACTGCGGCACAACTTTGATCCCCAGCTAGGGAGGTGACCCACATGGCGTAGCAGACAGCTCTTGTCCTGCCCACTGCTCCCTCAGCAGTGTATTATCAGTTGATCCACCTGTTCTGCTCCCCACTCTGTCTCTGGTGAATCCTCTTACTGCCTACACCCCAGTTCTCATATGCATAAATAAATCAAAAAAGAAATAAAAAAGAAAGAAAACAGATCCCTATCTTACACCACACACAAAAGTGAACTTAAAATAGATCAAAAACTCAAGTCTAAGACCCAAAACTCTGTAACTCTTAGAAAAAATAAAGACTTCATGACACTGGATTTGGCAATACTTCGAAGACACCAAAGGCACAAGCAGTGAAAGAAAAGATGGACAAACAGGACTTCATAAAAATTTTAGATTTTTGTGAATCAAGACAATATTAGCAAAGTAAAACGGCAACCCGCAGAGCGGGAAAAATATTGACAAACCCCAGTATCTTAAAAAAGATGAGTTAAGTATAGACAACTTCCAAAACTTAACAAAAATTAGGTCTGAGTCAAAAGTGGGCAAAGGAATATAGATATTTCTCCAAAGCAGATCTACAAGAGAACAAAAACCCATGAAAAGATGCTCAACATCGCTAACCATTAGGGAAATGAAAATCAAAATCACACTGAAATAGCACCTCACACCCATGGGATGATCACTACTGAAAAGATAAATAAGGGAAAGTGAAATGACAAGTATTGGTGAGGGTGCGGCTGTGGCTGTGAAGAAATTGGGATTCTGGTGCGCTATGCAAAATGGGGCAAACACTATGCAAAACAGCAGCTCTTAAAAAACTTAAAAATAGAACTAATCAGGATCCAGCAGTTCCACTCGTGAGCGTGCGTATACATATCCAAAAGAACTGAAAGCACATTTATGTTTTTAACAAAATTGTTCAAAAGTCAGGAGATAGAATCAACCCAAGTGTCCACTGACCACTGAGTGGCCAGACAAAATGTGAGACAGACAGGGAGGTACACTGGAATATCCCTCAGCCCTCAAAAGAACACTGTTACAGGCTGCATGGATGAATCGGGCACAGGGTGCTAAGTAAAGTAAGCCAGCGATAACACTACGCGTGATTCCATTTGTGTAAGTCATCTGAGGTAGCCACGTCCATAGAAACACAGTAGACTGGCAGTTAGCAGAGGTTAGGGGACAGCGAAGTGGGTAGCTGTTTAATGATTACAGAGCATCAGTTTTGAAAGATGAAAAGATACTGTAGCTCCATTGTACAACAGGAATATACTTACACCACTAAACTGTGTATTTAAGAAGTTATACTTTTTGGGTTTTATTTAATTAAAAGCCCCATGACACAGCTGACCAAGGCTGAGAATAGAAGCCACAGGAGAAACCGTTTTCAGTTTCAGCTCCAAGGGCACAGGCACACGTTTTTAATTTTAATTTCCCTCTGGGAATGTGCAAATAGGCAAGGGGTTTGTGTCCTAAGGGGCATTTCAGCTTTGCTTGCAGTTATTTAGGGGGTAGGGTTAAGTTACTGATGAGCTTAATTTGATGCAGGACACAGAGAGTAAATGCTATCAACATCCTGATTGATTTTCAGGGGCTCAATCTAAACGTGACCCCCCTGGTCCCAAGATGAAGGCAGGGGCAGCTCTGTGAGGAAGAAGCCCCATGTGCCTGGAAGCAGGAGGGGAGCCTGGCGGCTTCCTGCCCAGAACAACCCACACTGCCCCTGGAGAGCCAGCGGGGGCAAGGGGACGGCTGAGAGCAACGTCCTTAACATTTCCTCTCACTTCCATGGCCGTAACTGCCATCTCCACCTTCTCTTTGGCATCACCCCAGAGCAGGAGTGAATCATCCAGTTGGTAAAATCAGGAAATGAACATTCCTTGGACATGTTTAACTGGCAGTCACTGCTGTGACAGATTGTGTGGCCTGTCACTTGAACCAAAGGTAGCGCTACTCCCAACTCAGCCTTGTCCCCAGACAGTAAGCAGAGCAGGGACCCACACCTAGCCCCCCTTGCCCTCAGGGTTGGGGGGCAGGGGGGTTCAGCCTGACTTGCAAGTGGGGCTGTCTCAGTCCTCAGACTCCACAGCCAGGCCTTACATGCCATGGACAGCCATGGCTTCTTCAGGGCAGGCCAGCCGCTTCCACCCCTAGCAGCTGCAGCAGTGAGTGGACACCTGCATCATGAGGTCAGAAAGAATACTCAGGAACCAGAAGGCAGGAGCCGGCTGAGGTCACTTCCCCAAGTTACCTGGAAAGGGATAAAAAAGATCCAACAGGCCAACAGAGGGGCAGAACTAAGTGACTGTCCCTCCCCAGGCCTTCCCATCCCTCCGTCCCTGCCATCCCTCCTCTTTCCCTACCCAAGAAGCTGCAGGAGACAAGGCCAAAAAGAGAAGGTTTTTAATACAAAGGAGGCATGGCTTGGTTGCGGGGTGCTTAAATACAAGGGATGAGGGTGTCAGGAGCCAGCAGCGGGGGATCTGGGGGTCCTGCGGAGGGGAATGATGCAGACAGAGTTCCGAGCCTCTTTGATCCGCCACCATCTGCCGAGCCTGCAGTGGAGAGAGGAGCAGCTGAGGCCCGGCCCAGCCCCCACGCAGGCTCCTGCTCCTCTACCCGGCAACCCCCAGTCCCACCCTCACCCCTCAAGGGGTGCCTCATACCTGTGCTCCTGGCCTACCCCAGCGACCAGGAAGTCCCCAGCACTGGAGAACTTGAGGCTATTGATAAAGCCCACCTAAGAAGAGGGAAGAACAACGTCAGCGTGCGTGCAGCTCCCTCCCCTCAGCCGCGCAGGCCTGTATTAGGTCTCTGCCCCTTACCCTCAGGGCCTCAGCGACCACATCTGTGGGAAGGGGGAGTAAGCAATAGCTGTAAGGTGGAGTCCATGAGGACTGAATGACTGTGCGCCGAGAGTGTGGCAGGCATGGCCCGGGGCCTGGAGACCTCAAGACCAACACAGCTGACCTAAGCCCTGCACTCTCAGACGTCACTGACAGATCCTGCCACCTTCCCTTGGGTCACCCAAGTCTACTCACCCTAGCCTGGCAACCAGTCTGGCACCAATCGTGCAGAAACAATCACAGCACCAGGCCCTCCATGCCTCTGCCCACAGTGCTCTGTGCCTTGTGCTCCTAGACCCAGAGTAGGGCCCAGGACAGGAGAGGAGGGAAAGAATGGAGAGGCAGGAGGAGGGAGAATCCTGGCCAGGTCCTGAGCTAGCAGCTGGGACTAAAGCAAAATCACAGTGGCCCTGCTCTGAGGCGCCTTCTGGCATGGAAGAGTATGAGGCTAATTCGAAGGGCCATGAGCACCAAGGGCCTTGCCAGTGTGGCAAACATATGCATTCGAGCCAACTCACCAAGGGGATCTCACAGAGAAGGTCAAGCCGCCGGAAGCCCTCTCCACACTGCCAAAGCCGCACACCAGAGCTGTGGGAGCCTGGGGGATAGAACACAGGTGAGTGCCGCACCCCCTAACCCCCTAGCCAACCCTGCAAACCCCTGCTCTCTGAAACCCAGGGCACTCACCTGTGGCCACCAGGTCTGTGTTGAGCAGGGCTGCCACTGATGACACCCAGAAGGGCTGTTCCAGGCCCGGCTCCCCCCTTAGCCCATGGGCATCACGCTGCAGGGCAAGTGGCCGCTTCTTGGAGAGGCCCCACACGGCCACAGAGCTGTGGACAGGGAGCACGACATGAGGGGGCCGAGCAGAAAGGCCACGTAGGGGGAAGGAATCAAGTGCACACTAGTCGTAGCATTCAGAGAGGCCACCTGAGCGCTCCACAGACCCTTATGTAGAAAAGGTCCACCACAGCTTCCCACGGGACTCGATGAGGCAAGCCGGGGGCAGGGGAAGGAGACATCCACAAGGCAGCTCTTACCCATCATCTGCGCCAGACACCATGTGCTCCTCGTTGATGAGCTGGAGGCAGTCGATGGAGCCCCTGGAGGAGGGAGCAGCGTGGGAGCAGGGGTTCACCCACCCCGGCCGCTCCCACCAGCCCCACCTGGCCTGGCGCCGCCTTACTGGTGGCCGTAGAAGACAAGCTGGGACTCCTCGGGGATCTTCCACACACGCACGGTCCCATCGCGGCCCCCAGCTGTCACACAGCACTCCCTGCTCAGGGCATCCAGCGCTGCCACGGCATCCTGGTGCCCGAAGCTGGACGGGGAGACAGAGGGAGAAGGGGGATCGCACGGAACTCGCACACACACACCCGCACACCCTCTTCCCACACACTCACAGCGTCTCCACATAGGCGTTCTCCGCGACGTTCCACACCTTCACCGAGCGGTCGTGGGAGGTACTGTAGAGCTGGTGGGTGCCTCTGCGGAATGCCAGGCCCTGTGGGTGTGGGGAGGCAGGGGGTCCTGGACTGGGCAGGCACGACAGAGGTCAGGCCTGGAGAGAAGCCAGCCCCTCTCCAAAGTGGCCCAGCAGCCCTGTCTGGAGCCAGGAGCACCCCTACCCATCCTCAAGCAGCTGGAGCCTTCTTGGGGGGGCTTCCTGCTCCCTGAGCAAGCTGGACGGTCTCCTCACCCCTTCCACCACCTAGGTACTTTACAGTGCCTCTCACTACACCAAAGTGCAGCTGCTGAGAATGGGAGCCTGTGCCTCAGTCACCCCCTCCTCCAGGGCCCGGCACCAGGCCTGGCTCACTAGGCACTGCATAATTGTCTACCAAGGGAGGCCCAGCTCACCGACACGGCGTCACGGTGTCCTGTGAAGGTGTACAGGTGCCGGCAGCTCTGGGCCTCCCAGATGAGAATGAGCTTGCTGCGGTCACCGGAAGCCTGTAGGGATTGAGGACAATGGCCACGGGCACCCACTGTGCCCCTAAGCCTCTCACCCATCCCAAGGCCAAGCCTGCCTTACGAGGTATTTGCCATCAGAGGAAATGGCCATGCAGAGGACGTGGCTGCTGTGGCCAGGGGGCTGCCCCTCGGCACCCTTCTTGGCTCGGGGGATCACATGAAGCTTCCTTCCACTTTCCACACTCCCTGCCAGGGGAGGAGAGAGGCTACTGGAATGGGGAGCAGGGCTGACCAGGCACCTCTCCACAGGGTAGCACGAGGCCATAGAAAAAACCCTGGACTCAGGTGAGAAGATCTGGCTCAGCCACTGAGACCCTGACAGATCGCCTCGGTTTCTTAACCTGCTAAGTGATGACCAGCACCACAAAGGGCAGCCAGGAAGTCCTTTGGAAAAATGGTGCGAGTTCTCCCCAACACCAAAGGTGGACGAGGGCACCACCCAGCTGTTGAAGGCCAGGACTCAGCACCTCGGTTCCAGGACCGGGCAGAGCCTCGACACCATCTGCCCAAGCGCCCATCGTCAGCTTCACATCTCATAAAATCATCATTCCTCTGTGATCAACTGTCTCCAGTGATGGATGGTGACAGGGAGCTCACGAGCCCCACATCTGGTCACCCAACTGCCCCCCTTGGGAGCAATCCTGCCTCCAGAATCTCCACCCACTGGGCTTCCATTTGCCCTGATGACCGCCTCCTCCCAAGACCAGCCCTCCCAGAAGACCCCAAAGGGCTGTACCCCTAACCCAGGAACTCACTCACACTTAATAATGGTGCAGTCTTTGGCAGCAGAGAAGATGGCTAAATCGTCTGGGGTGATGACCAAACATGTGATGGGGAGTTGGTGACCCCGTAAGATTCGAATGTCAGCCGGGGCTGGGGCCTGGATCTGGGCAGGCAGGGCCAAATCACTACAACTAAGAACACGAACGCACCCTCCACACATACTTGCCATCCCTTCCCACGCCCTGGCCAGAAGGGAACCAGGCACAGGGCAGCAAAGACCAAGCTTTATCTGCCTCTGCCCAAGGGCCTGCCATATCCCACAGCAAAGACCTTACCAGTGGGGTTCCCAATACAATTCCCTCCAGTTTTATACCGAAGTGCCCTGTCCACTTACCTCCTTTGCCACTGTCTTCTGGAGTCTTCCCCTCTGTTCCAGCTGCATGGAGAAGAAAGGGATGAGATTCCAGGAAAAGACGGCCCCGCTCCTCCTCCACCTCCTCCCACTTACCACATCCTCCTTCAGGCGCCCAGCCACCTGGTCCTCCTCAAATTCTCGAGCCTCAGCCTTTTCCTCCTCTGTAAAACAGATCGAACAAAGTAAATTGAGGTCAAGACTCCTTTTTCCCTTTCCTATCGCCCCATCCTAACACCTCAGGCCTGGGACCCACAGGAAGTTCAGGCCGCCTCTGGCAATGGGTTGGATGGTTTCCTTCTGCCCACCCCTTCCTTTACTTATCAAATCAGACTAGAGCCCCCTGAAGATCTGGCCTGTCCCCCACACAGGGTACCAGCAGCCTGGCAGCGGACTGGCGTAGGCACAGGCCCCAGCCCTCCCTGCCCAACCCACAGGCTCACCTTGCTGCCTGAGCTGCTCAAGGTAGAGCTTGGCCAAGCGCAGCTTCTTCTCCTGTGCAGTTTCCTCTAGTTCCTCCTCCTCCTCCTCCTCAGTCCTCCTAGGAGCCAGGCTGTGAGCAGAAGGCAGCTGGGTTTGAAGGGTTCCTCCAGTCATTAGGACTCTGCCCCCTCACTATTCCCCCTGCCACTTAACCACCCCCATCCCTTGTCTGCTACATGGCCAATGACCCCACACGCAGAAAACCCAGAGACAAGACTTACCAAATGGAATAGGTCCCATCCAGTGCCTTACATAAGGTGAAAACAGACCCCAAATCCAAAGAGATCACTGTGAAATCTCTCGGAAAGAGAAGGGTCTACAGGCTTCCAAGAAAAGTCAAGCGGGGTCAGGAACCAAAATAACTTCAGACATCTCAGCAGGAACATTGAGAGCAGGACAACAAAGCAGCCGCACATGAAACTCTCAAGGAAAGTGCTAATCCCTGAATGCCAAGCCAGTCAAACCACCGCCGATGGAGACACTGTCAGATCTAGAAGGCATCACAAAAAGTGTCCTTTCTCCTTCCTTTGAGGAAGCAGGATGTGCTCCCAAACAAGAGGGTAAACTCAGAATGACAAAGGCTTGGGAGCCAAGAAACCACATTTCCAACACAGGCAGGAAAGGTAGATTCCAGGATAACCGCCCCAGGCATGAGGGAGCAGCCAGCCGCATCCAATCCAAGCACTGGAGAGGCAGACACATTGGGACTATCGTCACCCCATCCTTTATCTGAAGGACAGAGATTCTGGGTGAAGCAGGAAACTGTCTTGGCTTGACCTTTGCAGATGACATTCCAGCTCTCCCCTCTACAGCCCAATCCCTGACCAGCTAAGAACACTCACTTCATTCAAGACAGGTTCTACTTTGACTTGCTCCTAAGAACTAGTAGGTCACAGGATCTCGGTGGAAAACCCAGCTCATCCATTCCTTCTTATGATGTGCCTGCTTCTCATGGGTCTCAACTGTCTCCCAGGACTCATTCATGATCTTGCCCACAACTTTCCCAGAAGGGACCCATGAAAATTCTCAAGGAATTTTGGCCAAGGCCAAACCAACCCGCCCCCACCCCCAGAGATGACTTGGTACCCAATAAGTGTGTAGCCAAGAGGGTGGTGTTTCCCCTCCCTTACACAGCCAAGCTCCCACTTTCTACCCAGTTTATACAAGCTAATCAATCTATTGTTCAAAGATCCACACATGGGAGACAGAACTCTAAAGAAAATCAAGGGAAGTGTACGCTATGATTCTACACATATAACACTCTGGGAAAAGTAAAACTCTAGGGAAGGTGGTTACCGGGCTGGGGAAAGAGAAGGTGAGAATTTTGAAGGGTGATAAAACCTTTCTATGAGATGGTAGCTACATAACTGCATGATCAGAATTCACAGAAAAGGTGAGTGCTGCTGTACATATATTCCACCTGAATAAAAATATGGGGAATGAGGGAAGAGAAGGAAAGAAACCCAAAAAATTACTAACTCGAGTCAAGAACAGCTGTTGGGACTTCTACAGTTCTGCAAATGGTCTAGTTCTTAACAGAAAAAATGGGTGCACAGAGGTTCATCGCCCTGTACTCTATAGTTCAAGTCCTTTCCAGGTCTTATGTACCTAATACATTTCATAACGCATTTTTAAAATATTTAAAAGTGCTTAACAGTGAGCCTGGCAGACACATATACGCACAGCAACTTAGGATTAAGAAAAACATGTTAAATCTTTCATGGACAGGTTCAAATCAACACATACTCAATTTTGGAAGCAGAATTCCTAAAACCAACTCTTAAGGAAGACACTACGATTTCCTAATATGAAAGTTTGCACTCCACAAGATAAGCTCTGATACCTCATTCACCCCCTCTGAAGCCCTGTGACACACCCCAAGTCCTCCCTTACTGCAGAATAAAGGAGGTATTCAAGGCCCTCCTTCACAATCTGGTGGACAAGTGCCCACCACCTGCCATTCCATCTTTTCCATCTTCCAGGCTCACTTACACCCCTGATTTTTTTCTCTGATCCCTGAATGCCTTCCCTATCACCATGAGGGACTCCTCTCACCAGATCCTACCGAAATGTCCCCTATTCTATTCGGAGAACACGGAATTTTAAGATTTACATCCCACTACAACACATTCTGTCCTCACCTGCCTGTTCATCTCTACACTCTAAACAGGGGAGCCAGTGCCTGGCCCACACTGAGTCAGGTAATGATGAAACTGCAGAAAAACAGAACGAAGAACTGGCAGTATTTCTCGTATCCCCCTCCGCCACCTCCTTGCCTGTGAGTTCGGCCTGTGCTCACTACCCACCATGAGTCAAGGAAGCCTCCCTGTCTCCCACTGGGGTTGAGGTTCTGCTCACACGGACCCTGCACGGAAGAAGGTACTTCTCAGGGTCAGAAACTCTAAGAGTCATGACTGAGAGCCAAGAGTCCTGGATTCTTAGCCCAACTCTGCCCCCACTCAGTCTTCCACACCCCAAAGGCCTCGGTGTTCCTTCTCACTAGTTCGAAAAGAAGAGCTCACCTCTCAGTCTCAGAGTCGCTGGAGATCTCCTCATTCATCCTGCCGCCGCCCTTGGACTTGCCCCTGTCCCCAGCAGAGTCGGCCTGGGAATTATACGATATTTCTTTGGCAAGGTGTGTCCACCACGCCGGTACTGACCAAGAGGCCCTTTCGGTCTCTCGAGAACTCCGGAATGGGAAAGGAGGTGGCCCCGGCTCAAAAACAAGGGTTTCCAGGCTTCGGCCCGTGGTGAGAGGGACAAGGGGCACTCCGGCGGGGGTCCCGGAGAAGGGCCGGCGTGGGGACGGGCGCCGGAGCCCTGAGGTCCGGGTAACGGAAGTGACCCCGACCCGCGGAACAGCCATCTCACCTTCCGCCGCCGCTTACTGGCTCCGGCACCAACAGTGGCCCCGGCCCCTGAGGTCGGCTTTCCCCGCTTACGAGCCGCAGCTGTCCCCGACATGCTGCCCGCCGTGTGTGTCACAGCAGCGGCAGAGGAACTCACGTGGCGGCTACAACCGGGCGGTCTGGCAAGACCCGGCGCCCTGATAGGCTCTCGCCGTCCGGCGGGCCCCGCCTCCCAGGGCTGCATTGGGTCGATCAGCAGTCTCGGTCACGCCCTCAAACAACCATAGGATAAGAGCCTGTAGCCACGCCCTCTAGATTTCCTATTGGTTCTAACTCCAGCCTCCAGGAAGAGTCTCTTCCCCGCGCTTCCGGCCAAGACTGCGGCGCGTGCGCTCTGCCGCTAGCGTGGGTCTAGGGAGGGGTCGATCTGGAAGTCCCTTCTCAGTGCGTTTGCGCCCTACATGGACGCTAGGGGGCGTCGGAGACGCGGGGTTTTGTGTTCAGAGTGTGGCTCCGCCCCGTCAGGGGCTGGGATAGGGTGAACCAGGCTGGCGCTAGTTAACGGGGGGATCCAGGCAATCTCAGGGAGAGGGAGTTAGTGCACGAACTCAGGCCCAAGGTCATTATTGCATCCGGTGGTCGCGGATTGTATGCCGCAGGCCAGACGAGCAGCGTTAAGGACACAGTAGTCTCCTTGGCTTTGGCTATGTCTCCATCAAGTGTCCACCCATCCATGGGACAGGCCGCTGGCCTCTGCCTGCCCCCATCTCTGACTCATCGACTAGTGGTCAAGTAGTTAGAATCCTACACACCCCCTCCCTGCACACCCCTGTCCCTCCTCCCTCTTCCCCCACCCCACCCCCCTGCGGAAAGTCCCTCCCTAAGTCACTCTTAAGGCTTACTGAGGATTGCTAAAGTGTAGAGGGAACCCTAGAACTTTGACTGCTTGTAGGAGGTCTGACACTAGGCCCTGTGGCAGCCACTTCTCCCAGTCACTGCTTCTCTTAGGTGAGTGCCCTACGGAAGGCTTTGCCGGCAGCCCTGGGCAGGGCTGGGCAAGGCTGGGCAGGGCTGGGCAGCGCAGGGTGGAACCAGTCCTTGCTCTTCTGTGGTCCAAGGCCATGATCTGGGACCCTAGCTGACACCCTAGATCTCTTGAGCCCCAAATGAAAGTCGCACCACTGGGTTTCAAGTTCTAGAGGGGCAAACGGATCTGGCCCTAGGAGTGCTGCCCCAGGGAGCCACTGCCCACTTTCCTCCATAGCTGGGGTGACTCAGCCCGCAAACATGCCAAAGTGGTGTTAGTTGAGAGGGAGGAGCAGGCAGTACTCAGAGCTAGCTCTGGAGGGAGGAGGAGCCTAGAAGTGGGAGGGGAAAGATGCTTCTTTCTCTTTCCTCAATACCTCTGGATATACTGGAGAACTAGTCAGGGTAGGGAACCACCCTTCCTAGACGTGGGCAGACTGGCCTGGCCCCTGTGATTGGAAGAGGGGGATATCTAAGGTGCAGAGAGCCTGTTTGGGATTGGGGACAGTGGAGGCAGGGCAGACTGCCAAAGGGCAGATCCAGGGTGCGGCAAATTTGGTGCTGTGCCAGCTTGGAAGGGTGCAGAGGCCATGGATACCTGAGCCCTCTCTGTGCCCCAGAACAGTCATGGCTCCGAAGCGCAAGCTTTCAACATCACATGGGGCCCCTGAGAAAAAGAAGGGGCGGCAGGGGACAGAGGCAGAGGACAGCTTCCGCTCAGCCGCGGCAACCCTGAAGGCGGCACCCACAGAGAAGCGCATAGTCCGAGTGGACCCCACGTGCCCACTCAGCCGCAATCCTGAGATCCAGGTAAGCTGTAGGCCCCCCTCTGAAAGTACAAATACTTTCAGACCTGCTCCCTAGTCCGCAGGGCTTGTCTCTGTAGTTCAAGTGTCCTAAGTAAACTATGTTCTCCCCAAATCCCAAAGGTCGGGCAGGGCTGTATCCCACCATAGCAGGAAGTCTTGTCTGCTCTTCAGACCCAGGGCAGGTCTCTGAGCTTCTCAGGTCCCCCCAACTATGCCCCCTCAATCCAGTGTCCCCAAGGGAGGGCTATGTCCCCGAGATCCTTCGGTGGGCAGGATTGTGTCCCTACTGAATGCCCGAGGAAGAACCATGTCCCCCTCAGGTTCCCCCACCCAGGACACAGCCATGTTCTAGATCCTCCCATACCCCATGCCCAACCTTAGCTATGTCACCTCAGACTTCATCCCCTCAGGACCAAACCCTAACCCCTCATGCTTTCCAAGCTGCCCCCTCTGAAGGCCCAGTGCCATCAGACCTTGGTGAGCAGCTGACTCCTGCCCTGCCCAGCCCCCACCAGTGTGGTGCCGCTGGGACCCGTCCCATGCCAGGGCAGCCCGAGCCAGCCTTCCCTCCCCGAGCCCTCTCTGGCTCCAGGTACATGAAGACTATGACTGCACCTTAAACCAGACCAACATTGGGAGCAACAACAATAAGTTCTACATCATCCAGCTGCTGAAAGAAGGTGACGGCTTTGTCTGCTGGAACCGCTGGGGCCGTGTGGTAAGTGCCACTGCCCTCGCCTGCCTCCTCCCTACCCTTCCTCGCTCAGCTCCTGCCCCCTGCTCCCTCCTGTCCCCAAGCTTACTCTGCCCAAAAGGCCACAGCTGCTTCCCACCTACCCCCTGGCCAGGCTGCTAGATACGGGCTCTGGCACAGCAGAGACCAACAAATGCTGTGGTGGGCATGCCCCTGAGGACTGTCATTTGCAGGGGGAGGTGGGCCAGTCGAAGCTCAGCCACTTCACATCACTGGAGGATGCAAAGAAGGACTTTGAGAAGAAGTTTCGGGACAAAACCAAGAACAGCTGGGCAGAGCGCAAGCACTTTGTGGCCCACCCCGGGAAGTACACACTTATCGAAGTGCAGGCAGAGGAGGACACCCAGGAAGCTGTGGTGAAGGTAAGATGCCCTGGGATGGCGGGTGGGTGCTGGGCCAAGGGAAGGGACGGACGGAGAGACCCAGCCGGCTGGGCTCGGCCACAGCCCCGCTGTGTAAACTCAGGCCCAGATGTCCCTGCTCTGGCCTCAGTCTGACCCTCCTCTGTCTAGTGCCTGCTCCAATGAGGAGCCAGTACAGCTGCTCCTGCACCCCTGTGTCCTCTCTGCTAGGTGGACGGAGGCCCAGTGAAGGCCGTGCTTCAGCGGGTGCGGCCCTGCTCTCTGGATGCAGCTACACAGAAGCTCATCACCAACATCTTCAGCAAGGACATGTTCAAGGACTCCATGGCCCTCATGAACCTGGGTGAGGGGAGAGGGACCAGGCAGGGCGGCAGGGGCCTGGGAGACAGGATGGGGAGGGGGGGCTAAGTCTCCCTGCTCCCCGCCCCCCCCCCAGATGTGAAGAAGATGCCCCTGGGAAAGCTAAGCAAGCAGCAGATTGCACGGGGCTTCGAGGCCTTGGAGGCCCTGGAGGAGGCCCTGAACACCCCCACAGAGAGCGGCCCCAGCCTGGAGGAGCTGTCCTCCCACTTCTACACCGTCATCCCCCACAACTTTGGCCGCAACCGGCCCCCACTCATCAACTCCCCTGAACTTCTTCAGGCCAAGAAAGACATGCTGCTGGTGAGGGCTGGCAGGTGGGCAGGCACTGGCAGTACTGGACAGACAGGGCAAGGGCTATGGGGACAGGAGGCCAAGGGGGCACCGAGAGACTGCAGTGGGCAGAGTGAAGGACAAGGGAGTGGAAGGACAGACGGAGAAATGGAAGGGGACGAGCAGGTGGATGGACAGGTGGGGTGGCCGTGTTACCTGCAGGGGGGGGGAGCTGGGATCAGGTGGGCAGACAAGCTGCCAATGCCCTGCGCCTTAGGTGCTGGCGGACATTGAGCTGGCCCAGACCCTGCAGGCAGCTCCCGAGGAGGAGGAGAGAGTGGAGGAGGTGCCGCACCCCCTGGACCGAGATTACCAGCTCCTCAAATGCCAGCTCCAGCTCCTGGACTCAAAGGCACCAGAGTACCAGGTGGGCCGGGCTCACAGTAGGCACCATTATCTCTGCCCACCTGCCCTCTAGGTACCCAGAAGAGTCCCTCGCCCTTAGCCTGTGTCTCAAAGACCTGAGGAACACTTCCGGAACTACAGGTCTAGTGGCGGTCACTCACATGCCTCTCAACCTTGGCGCCCAACTTCTGCTCTCCCCACAGGTGATACTTACATACTTAAAACAGACTGGCAACAACTACAGGTGCCCTGCTCTTCAGCACGTGTGGAAAGTGAACAGAGAAGGGGAGGTGAGGGCAAGTTCCCCCAAACTCTGCCCCCATCATCACTTTGTCCCTTAGAGAGATGTCTCAGCCTTTCTGCCCTTAGTGAGTCCACTTAGCCACACTGACCACTGTCCACCAGGCCTAGGCCTTGTGCATGTGTGCATGAATGTGTATGCGTGAACAGAGGTCCCCTTGGCCTTGGTCACCCCCTCTGCAAAGCAGGGAGAAATGCCTGAGCTTAGCTGGCATGACTCTTCTGTTTCCGATGTCCTCCCCTTCAGGGAGACAGGTTCCAGGCCCACTCCAAGCTGGGTAACCGGAGGCTACTCTGGCATGGCACCAACGTGGCAGTGGTGGCTGCCATCCTTACCAGCGGGCTCCGCATCATGCCGCATTCTGGTGGCCGTGTTGGCAAGGGCATCTACTTTGCCTCGGAGAACAGCAAGTCAGCTGGCTATGGTGAGGCACCCCAGGGCCAAGTTCTGGGCAGGTATGGGGACACTAGAGGACTGGGCCCTACCCTTGTCCACTGGAAATGCATGGTGGGCCCTGGAGAGGAAACACTGAATTGTTGCTGATCAGAGTGCTCAGCAGGGCATGCTGGAGTTGGGGGAGACTCAGAATGCACCCAGTGGTCAGGGACAGCTTCCTGGAGGGATGCAGATAAGATGAGCGTGGCAACCAGACCAGAAGGGGCTGAAAGAGTCTCCAGTACAGCTGATAATATACCATAGAATGTGGGCAGGCACCGTGGTGGTGCCGAGGATCAAGAGAGCCGTGTGGACTTGTACATGGCAGGATCCATGGTTGAGGCAGAGGCTGAGGGGTGGTGTTGCTGTCATCCGGTGTGATGCTACCAAAGCCAGTGGAGGTGGGGAAGGAGAGGGGGAAGTTTCGGGGTGTCTCTAATGACTCCCAAGTTTCTGTCCAAAGGTGCCCTCACTGACGTGCCCTCCCTAGACTGACCTCTCAGCCTGGGTTTTGGTCAGCCCTAGAGCATCTTAGAAGGTCAGCCCATCTGTCCTTGGACCTGGCTCACTTGGTTGGGTACCACCCACCCATCCAAAAGAGCAAGGCCCAAAATGCACTGAAGGACAGAGGGGGCTGAAGTTCTAGGCTATTCTGAGATTGCCCAAAGCCAAGGGGTCCTCTAGGAAGGCAGAGGAGTTTAGGAAAGGAGGGAGGAGCCTCCCTGGTGGTGCACCAGGTTAAAGCGCAGCACTGGAAACTAGCTGCAACCTGGGCCTGAGTTCGATCCCCAGCCAGGGAGGTGACCCACATGGTGTGGCGGGCTTCTCCTGCCTCTGACCCACGTGGCGCGGCAGACCTCTCCTAACTGCCCGCTGCTCCCCTCAGCAGTGTGCTTCATCAGTCTGCCTGTTCTGCACCCCACTGTGTCTCTGGTGAATCCTCTCACCGCCCCTGCACCTCTGGCCTGTACCCCATTTCTTTGTTCATAAGTAAATAATTTTTTTTTAAAGGAAGGAAGGAGGGTGATCTCAGGAGAGCCAGTTCAAGCAGGCCTCAGGGTGAGAAGTGAAGGATGCCAGTGGAAAGGCAGCAGAGCAGGCCAGGGAGATCAGCCCCCACCCCAGATTTGGTCACCGGGAAGCCATTTTTTAGCTTGGTGAGGAAAACTGGAGGGACAGAGGCCCCGCTGCCCAGGGCCCGAGATTGAGGGCAGAAAGCGTGAAGGCACACAGCCAGGACAAGGGGTGCTTGAGGGTGGGAGAGGGGGCACTTTTCTGGGATGGAGCACTGACACCAGAGGAGGTAACAACAGTGTAGAGGGGCCCAGGGAGTCCAGCAGGAGGGGCCAAACTGCCCGCCTGAGCTGCCCTGTGTCCCCCAGTTACGGGCATGTCCTGCGGATCCCACTGTATCGGCTACATGTTCCTGGGTGAGGTGGCCCTGGGCAGAGAGCACCACATCACCATCGATGAGCCCAGCTTGAAGCAGCCGCCCCCTGGCTTCGACAGTGTCATTGCACGAGGCCACACCGAGCCCGGTGAGTCCCAGGAAGCTGGGTAGGCCTGGCGACAGAGGTGAGGCTGAGATAGGGGACCAGGAGGCTTTTGGGGAGCAGGTGAGCAAGGAAGGGGCTGTTGAGAGGGACCAAAACAAGTAGGCCTTCTCTCTGCAGTCATTCACTTTGTCATTCAACAAACATTGGCTGATGCAACAAATCACTCCTGGGCATCCAGGGGGGCTTCAGAGAAGAGATGTGACGAGGAGCAATGATTTAGACACTGGAAAGGTGGGAATGAGCTGGCATTCCCTGAAACAGAGGTAGACGGCATAGAGGGCCAGGACTCACGGTTGGGGTCCAGCTCCAGTGACCCTCGGGCACCCGTGACTCTTGCTGTGCTCTGCAGATCCGACCCAGGACACAGAGCTGGAACTGGATGGCCAGCGAGTGGCAGTGCCCCAGGGCCAACCTGTAACCTGTCCAGAGTTCCGCAACTCCAGCTTCTCCCAGAGCGAGTACCTCATCTACCGAGAGAGCCAGTGCCGCTTGCGCTACCTGCTGGAAGTTCACCTCTGAGCTGCCGCCCTGGCCCCCAGGCCCTACTGGGCGCTAGACCATCATCTCCAGTCTTCCTGCCCACTTCTGATGTCCTCATATGCCCCTTCTAGCTCCCAAATCTCCCTTCTGTGTCCCATCCACTGTCCCCCAATCCTCGTTAGTCTTGGTATTGCTGTGCCCCAGGATCCCACCTCCTTAAGTGATGGGCATGGTGGACTGGCATTATTGTTGGGATATGGGTGAAGCAGCCATCGAAGGCTGTGTGGTTAGAGGGGCACAGGCCACGGTGGGCCAGACCCCACATCCACCGGCTGTGCACCCTGGCCCAAACTGCCCATCCAAGAGGTCTGATCACCATCACAAGCAAGGTCATTAAACATGTATTCACTCCCTCACCCACCACCCCCACCCCAGCTTCTCCTTGTTGCACTGCAGCCGCACTAGACCGGACCTCCTCTCTCCATGGCAACTCATCACGCCGCTCCAGCCCCACACCAGGGAGCATGTGCTCGCAACGGCTGGTGTGGGACACACGCACACGCGTGCATGCACCCACACACACGCCTGCCCCAACCAGCTTTATATCCATCACCACAACCACCAACCTCTTCTGATAACTGAGTCTTCAAAGAGGACTCTGACCCCAAATTAGCCATTTGGAGAACCCCCGGTGAACCTGTCATTTAGGCCTGATATTGCCAAACAAGTCAAGCAGTTTCCATGTCTCACCGTCCTCATGTGTCCTACTACTGAGTATTATAAATGACTTGAACATGCATCCGAGGGGCGCAGCTCTGCAGTCAGCAAAGGAATGCCCACTGTCGCCCCAAGTAACCCGTCTACAGACGAAGGATGCCGGGAGCAGGTCAGGATCCAGCCCGCGCTCAGACTCTGCCTTGGGCTGTCGTATTTCTGTTGTCTCCTTTAACCCGACACCGTTCCTCTGCCTTTCCTTCATGGTTAGCATTCCTGACACTCCTGAAGAATATACCACAGTTGTCTTACAGACTTTCTCTCAATTTGGCTTTGTCCAAGTTTTGTCAAGATCAGATTCAGGTATTACCTTTTGGGCAGGGAGAGTACATAAATGATGTGTCCTCAATATATACATCAGAGAGGACACGTCTCTTGCTTGGTGATGCTAACTTTGATTGCTTAGTTATGGTGGTGTCTACAGGTTTCTCCACTGAGCATTTCTCCTGTTACCATTTCCCAGGAATCTATAGGAAAATATTTTGAGATATGAATGTCCAGGTCCTTATTAACTTTCACCCACTGGCTTTTAATATCCATTGATGATTTTTACCTGAAAGTGATTATCTGAATCCATTTTTGCTAAGGTGGTTGTAAAAGGTAGTTACCTGATGTCACCCTTTTTTCATATTTATTAACTAATATTCCCCTTTATTGTCACTATGTATTCATGGATTCTTATTTTATGCAGGTCACTATACAGCCCATTATTTATTTTGATCCCCAGACTACCCCAGATGTGACCAATAAAGGTCCTTGAAGCTGACTTCTGTGTCACTATCAATTCTTGAGCAGTCCCTTCCTTTCCGGCCTCAGATGTTTCAGGCTCCTCTTGCACAGACTTGAAATTAGCCATTTCTCCAAGGAGGCTTCGTTCTCTTGAGCAGGAAAGGGCAATTTAGAATTCAGTCTCTGGCTAATGGCGATGCTCCTTGGCACTGGAGCCTTTATGGCCTTGTAGTAAGAGTGCTAGGAAATAGTATCCATAAATAAATGAAGACAAACCCATCTGTGTGTGTATTTCTCCAGTTCCAGTGAAACACTGCAGGCTTCCTCCATATTCCCCAAATCCTTATTTATACCTTCCTGCTCTAATGATAAGAACCTTGGTTTCCACCCGTCCCACACACGCAGAAATTTTCTTCTCAGTCCCACATAAAAAGGCATTTAGGGACTGTTATACTCATGCCATTGTGACAAACAAGCTTTCTAAGCAGAGCTCAAATTTTAGTGACTCTAGTCACTAGTCAAGATTATCTTTCTGTCCGTAGACTAAGGTTTGATGATCAAACGTTAACTTATGAATTATTTATTTTCCTTTAGTGCAGTTGTGTTATTAATTTGAAATATATGTAGGTTCATTTATTTATTTATTTTAGGGGTCTTTCCCCCACCTTCACTGACCTATTTTTCTTTCAATGTGCAGAACATGAACATAGTTCCCAAAAGCCTGGTATATACTAAAATGCGTGCTCAGAATTGTCCATCTCCTAGCCTCCTAGCCTCCAAGCCTCCAAGCCTCCTAGCCTCCTAGCCCCCTAGCCCCCTAGCCTCCAGGCCTCCTAGCCCCCTAGCCTCCTAGCTCCCTAGCCCCCTAGCCCCCTAGCCCCCTAGCCTCCTAGCCTCC